TGTTGCAAGGGCAAGTGTTCCCTTGCTTTAATAGGACCCCTCTGGCTGCTGTGATTCCTCTAATTCCAGCGGGGAGGGACAGAGACAGGAAGACCAGGAATGACGCAGGTGTAGCAGTCCAGGTGAGACAGCAGTAGCTAGAAGTTTCTAGTCTGGCCAGGGAGGCCTATATGGAGCAAATAAATGATGAAATGATTACAAATAGTGGTAAGTACTGCAAAATAAATGAACACGAACAGCATGCCATGGTTCCAGGGAAGAATAAAAAGGATCTCTCTGGCATTCTCGTCTATATGATTCACTCAGTAGTTACCCAAGGCTGCTGATGCTTGAAATCCACATCCTGCATTTTCATCACCGATTATTTTGTTGTCATTTGGGTGGGTTTGGCCCAGGGCCCAGAGCCACTTGGGCGGAGGGTGTTCATCATTGTACTAGAGCTTGGAGAGCAAGGGAAGGGAGGGCCTTTGAGCCTGTGGTTGAAAGAGGAGCTCAGGAAGGGCTTGGCAGTTAAGAGCAGAGCTAGGTCTGGTCTCTGCCACATCCCACCTGTGGGATCTTGAACACGTTACCTCATCCCTCTAACCCTCTGTTTCCTCTCCTGGAAAAAGGTACACTGATTTGCTTGGTCTGCTCTCTGCTTCCTTCTCCCAGGGGTAGTGATCTTTATTTTTTCCACTGCTGTGTCTGTAGCACCCAATAAAGCATTTGGAGCATGGTCGGCCCCAGTAAATATTTTAATTTATCTATTTTACATTTTTACATAAGGCATAACTTTTATATAGTACAGCAACCTTAAGCATCCAGCTCAGTGAATTTTAAAATGTGTATGTGTAAAATCCTTGTAATATGGGTGTATATGAAATATGTAACTACTACCAGATCAAGTTATAGAACATTTCCAAGTCTGCAGCAGACTCTCCATACCTCTTCCTAATAATACTCCCCAAAGTCACCATTATTCTGACTTTGATCAGCATCTATTAGTATTGCCTGTTCTTGAACTTCATATAAACAGGATCAAGAAATATGTACTCTTGTATCTGGCTTCTTTTGTTCATTATGATGTTTTGTGGGATACATTTGTATTGTTGCATGTGTTAATAATTCAGTCCTTTAAAAATTGCTGTGCAGTTCTGGCCGGTTTGGCTCAGTGGTGAGAGCATTAGCCCATGGTTCAAAAGAACCAGGTTCGGTTCCCGCTAAGGGCATGTAACTTGGTTGCAGTTTGTCCCTGGCTCTGGTTGAGGTTGTGCGGGAGGCAGCCACTTGATCTGTCCCTTTCATGTCGATGTTTCTCTCTCTTTTCCTCTTACTCTAACAGAACAAAAATGGAAAAAAGTCCTCAGGTGAGGATAAAAATAAATTAGAAAAAATTGCTGTGTAGTAATCAATGGTGTTGTTATGCCACAATTTATTCATCCTTTTCACTACTGATGGGCATTGAGGTAGTTTCTAGTTTTGGGCCATTTTGAGTAAAGCTGTTCTGAACATATTTTGTAGATGTTGTTTGATGCACATAAGCACACTTTTCTCTTTTTTTTTTTTTTTATCCTCACCCGAGGACATTTTTCCAGTTTTTTTTTTTGTTCAGGTAGAGTGGGAGGGAGAGAGAGGAACAGAGAGAGAGAGAAACATCGATGTGAAAGGGACACATCGAGTGGCTGCCACCCGCACAACCGACCAGGGCCGGGGACAAACTGCAACCGAGGTACGTGCCCTTAGCGGGAACTGAACCCGGGTCTCTCAGGACCGCAGGCCGATGCTCTAACCGCTGAGCCAAACCGGCCAGGGCACACTTTTCTCTTAAAAAGGAGTGGAATTGCTGTGTCACTGTGTAGTTGGATGTTTAGCTTTAATAGAAATTGCCAGACTTGACTCCAAAGCAGTTGAACCAATCTACACTTTCACCAACAGAGTGTGAGAGTTTCAGTTGTTCCTCATGTTGGCCCTAACTTGACATTTATTTCAGTCATTCTGGTATGTGTGTGTAATAGCATTTCACTGGGGTTTTATTTGCAATTCCCTGAAAACTAATGATGTTGAGCACTTTTCATATGTTTGCTCAATAAATATTTGTTAAAAGAATAAATTAATTGCCTTGGCCGGGTAGCTCAGTTGGTTAGCGCATCATCCCGATATGCCAATGTTGCAGGTTTGATCTCCCACCGGGACATATGCAAGAATAAACCAATGAATGCATAAATCAGTGGAACAACAAATCAATGTTTCTCTCTTTCTCTCTCTACCTTCCTCTCTTTCCAATCAATACATAAAAGTAAATAATAAAAAAAAAATGAATGAATTGAGTTTAGATAAGAATGGAAAGGGCCTTGGCCGGTTTGGCTCAGCGGTTAGAGCATCACACGTACCTCGCTTGCAGTCTGTCTCCGGCTTCTACCTGGCTTAGAACCCACCAGTGGCCTCCCTATTGCTCTTAGAGCCAAGCTGAAACCCCTCCCTTGGCTAACAAGATCCTGTGTGCTATGGACTTTTCTGACCCCTCCTGATTCTCTGTCTGGATTCCTTGCCACCCAGACTATCTTCAGGTTCCTCCAAGGACCTACTCTATCCTAGCTCATGATTTTTCCATGTACTGTTTTCTTTAGGCTGGGACATAACCCAGGTCTAATGAAATCAGAATCATCACTTGTATCTCAGCTCAGAAACTCCTTCCTCTGGGAAGTCTTCCCTGACTTCCATCACCAGAAGACCAGGACTCTTTTAGACACTCTTAGTCCAACTTTTTCTGTCTAGCTTTTAACACAGCTATAAATACCCCTTTCTTTATGTGATTATTTAATTAAACTGTTCCCTTACCATAAAAAAGCATTAAAAGCCCCACCGGAAACCCCAACACTTCAAGCTCCATAAAAGCAGCAACTTTATCTTATTCTGAGTAAGACCTGACACATAGTTGATGCTTAATAAGTGTTTGTTGAATGTGTAAATGTTAAAGCAACACGTGGAGTATTATCACCTGAAATTAATTAACCCTTAACAATTCACTCACCCCGGAAGGAATCTGGGCCAATAAAAAAAAATCATGTAAAACAACCCTCCCTCAAATCCTCACTAGGTCCTTTTGTGGGGGGAGTGTCTTAAATTCAATCACTGTTCCTGGTTTAATTCGTGCAGCTGGTGTGTGTGTGTGTGTGTGTGTGTAATGGAAACTACAAACCAGTCATGGGATTAAGGAGGTGAGGTGGTAAGAAAGGCATTGCTGGTGTCACAGTGAAATCCCAGATTCCCCTGCCCCAACTCCTCTGTCACTGGTTGCCTGTGTTAAACAGATCTGAGGCAATATGGCAAAATGATTAGCATTATAAATTCCTTCCTTCCTAACCAGTCTGCCTGGGTTCAAAGTCTGTTTTAGCCACTTCCTGTCTATATATCCCTGACAAAGTACTCTGACTTACTGAGCCTCAGTCTCCTCAACTGAAAAATGGGGATAATAAAAGTATTTACTGCCTGGCTGGTGTGGCACAGTGGTTGAGCATCGACCCATGCACCAAGAGGTCACCAGTTTGATTCCGGGTCAGGGCACATGCCCAGGTTGTGGGCCAGGTCCCCAGTGGGGGGGCATACAGGAGGTGGCCAATTGATGTTCTGGCTCATCAGTGTTTCTTTCTTTTTTTTTTTTTTTATCCTCACCTGAGGACATTTTTGCATTCGTCTTCAGATAGAGTGGAGGGAAAGATGGGAGAAGAGAGAGAAACATCAGTGTGAGAGAGACACATTGAATGGTTGTCACCCACACGACCCCAACCAGGGCTGGGGACAAACTGCAACTGAAGTACATGTAGTACGTGCCCTTAGTGGGAACCGAACTCGGGACTCCCTGGTCTGGGGGCCAATGCTCCAACTGCTGAACCAAACCGGCCAGGGGTCACCAATGTTTCTATCTTTCTCTCCCTCTCCTTTCCCCTCTCTCTAAAATCAATAAAGAAAAATAAATAAATAAAAAGTATTTACCTCATGGGGTGGTTGTGAGGATTACCCAAGTTAATTCATGTTCATGTTAATTGCACAGCCTTAGGAAGCCCATGACTGTGAATGCTTAATTATTACTACCTGTGCAGGCCTCAGTTTCTTTACCTATAAGGTGAGCATCAATAACCTGATTATTTCCTGACAGCTGCTTAAAGAGGATTGAGTGGCAGCGGCAAGGTCTTTTGCACACATATGGGGACAGCTGTTTGTGATGGTGATTGGAGCCCTCTTGCCATGAGTGGTCTGGAATCAGACTGGTCATGGGTTTGTTTAATCCCTCTTCCACTACTTGGCAGCTGTGTGACCTTGGGCAAATCACTTCCCCTCTCTGAGCTTCAGTTTCACCAACAGATTCATGAATGTATCCACCTCTGTGTTTCTGTGTTAGCTCTGGAGTCGGCTGCCTAGTTAGCCCTGTGACCCTGGAAAAGACACCCAACCTGGCTGCCTCTTGCTTTCTTCTTGCATGAAAGGGAAGTCATACTATAGAGGACCCAATAAGGACGCAACTGGTTGTTTGGGACGCTCAAGACTCTTAGAGGGCTCAGGACATGTTATATTCTCCTGTTTGTTATCACTGTAGCTGCGGTTGTCTTTGTTGTTACAGCAGGATTTGAACACTGGTCACCTAGTCTAGACGCAAAGATCCCGGCAGCTTCTGGAGGGTTAGCACACCCTCCCGCGCCCGATGGGGTGGGATCGGGCGCCGGGGATCCGGGGCTAGGCGGCAGGCCAACGCGGTCTCCAGGCCCCGGCGCCTAGGGGCGCGGGTCCGACCTCCGCGCGCGGCCCACGCTGTGAGGCTGCTAGGGGAGCCCGGCGCCTGGGCGGGGCGGGGCCGCTGCATCCCCGTGACGCTCCGGCCAATCAGACGGCGTTGCGGCCCCGGCCTCCTCCCGGCTGCCTCCCGCCCTCGCCGCCGCCGCCGCCGCCGCCAGCACCCGGGCCTGTTCGCCCGCTGCCCTGCCGCCGCACGCCCGCCGGTGCCTGCCGGTGCCCGCGCCGGCCGCATGGCGCTCGGGGGCTTCTGCAGCGCCGATGGCTCCGACCCCTTCTGGGTACGTGCTCGGCGGCCGCCCGGGTCGCGTGGGGCGGCGGGAGGGAGGGTGGCCGGCAGGCTGGGAGGCCGGCTCGGGGGGAAGCGCCAGCCTGGGCGGACGGGCCCGCAGCCCCTGGGCCCCGGCTGCCGCCCCGAGCGCCGCGTTCCCCGCTCTGCAGCCGGCCTGGGGGTCCCGCTCCCCGCTCGCCCGCGGCGGGGCCCTTCGGGAGTGCAGCTAGCTGATGGGGGAAAACTTGGGTGACTCCGTTTCTCAGAAGCAGGCGTGCGTGGAGGAGCGGGGGTGAGGTTAGCATGTGTCCAGGTCTGGGGTTTTGCGGGGAAAGGTGAGGGGCCAGCGCCTTGGGGAGGGGTTTGAAAAGGAGTTCTTCCTGCTTTGGGGTTCTTTCTCCGACCTTCCAGAGAAGGGGACGCCAGAGATGGAGGACGGTCAAGGAGGTTGTCTCTCATCTCTTTTGTGGGGTAGGGTCCCCCCTTTCACAAAATATATCCCGTTGCGGCCTGAGTTGGGGAGGGGCTCGGGCTGTAGAAAGGGGCTTCCTAGTGATTGGTTGAGGTTTGCTCCAGTTGTTTTGCATTCACATTACTCCCAGATGGTTTTCCACCTTTTGTCATCTTTTACTTTCTTTGGGTTTAATTACTCGGGGTGGGGGGATGTTTGGGGGAACAAGGGAAGAGTTGGGGAAGTTTGGGGAACAGCCAGGAAAGAAGGGGGGCTGCCCAACCCTGCCATGACTGGCCTGACTGCCCCCTAGGTTTGGGGTGCTGCCTTGAATGCCCAGGACCCTGGTACTGGTGGGCGTGCCATCCCCCTCCTGTAAAGCAGGCTCCTCCGTGGGACCTCCGCCCATTTTTACCTCGGCAAGTTTTCGTGTGAATGATCCGTGCTGAGCCGGGCTGGGTCTCTGGAGTCTGCTTTCTGTGGTTTAATCCCAGCTTTAGCTTCCCTCTAATTCGATTTCCTCCTTTGTTCCAGGAGGGCACTTCTGTGTCAGGCCATCTTGATTATTTGTAAACACCATACACAGATCTGGACATGATAGTTTTCCCACTTCTGTTTAGGAATCAGGAGAAACACCCTTGGCTCTTAAGAGCTGGTGATTAGCATCCCAAAATACCTTCTTGTCTTGTTTTGTGGTTCTTTTCTTTCAGGCTGCATTTGGAGTGTTGAGAAAGTCATCATTGAGGGCCCCATGGGAAGGTTTTCTTTTGGGGGGTATCATTTGGTAGAATAACCCAAACACACCTAGGAAGGTCTCCCATTTTCAGGCCAATGGGATCAGAGAGTTACTCCAGGGTTGGAAACAGCTTTGCACTCAGTGTCTCAGGGTGATTGGAGAGCAGGCCATTTGCAAAGTGGGACTCTGTCTAGCAGAGAGAAAAACCTGTGGAGTCCTTGCCAGTTATGACAGCAGTAAGATGATTTCTGCAAGGATGCAGATGGGGATCTGGTCTAGTGTTGCTGGGAATTCTGGATTGTTTCCTTATTTTTTCTTTTCCTAAATGACAGGGTCGGGGGGTGGGGGGGTGGGGTGGGGTGGATAGGCAACCATAAACTAGATTCTGCATCAGGATGTAGTTGATTGATAGCTAATGAGGATTTCCACAGTTGAATGTGTTTGAGGGTATCCTCTGTTTATTTAGTTTAAGAAGCTCATATGGAAAACCAATTGAGTTTTTTTTTTTTTCTTGCAAGGACTTTTCACTGCAGAAATTGCCAAGTGACTGGCCTTCACCTCTGCCAGGCCCTTCATTTTCCCTCAGTCTTGGGCTTTGCAGACTTTCCTCTGCCTCTCCTCCCTCTGGGTACCTGGACTTGCTAGATGCTCCAGTTTCTGGGGGTGCCCTGGAACCAGACTTTGAGAGCAGACAGCTGAGGCATAAGAACTTCAGATAGCAGGAGAAACCACATGTAACAGAAAGCAGATAGCTTGTGTTTTCTAGGGCAGCATGCTCAAGGCCAAGAGAGGCTGACCTCCCAGTTGTTAGATAACTGTACAACTTTGGGCAAGACCCTTTGCTTCTCCGTGCCTCAGTTTCCTCATCTGTAAAAGGGGGGCAGGGGCCAAAAAAGTCCCAACCTCCTAGGGTTGTGAAGAGTAAATGAGTTCATCTATATAAGTGGCTCAGCTTGTGCCCTGCACAGAGGTAAACAATGGCTATTTTTATGCTTTCTGAAGTTGAAGGTGTGTGTTTTGAGTTGTTTGTCCTTCCTTTAGATCCAATTTTTATTTAGGGGGTGGTAATGGGATTGGGTCACCTACTCACTCACACCTGGTTCCTCCCTTGATCAAGGACAAGTGTTTAGAAATCAAGGTGACTAGCCTGGGTGACACTCTTATCAAAACGTTGTTCCTGGACCAGTGCCTGCCTCTGAGCCCCAGGAAATTTCCAGAAAAACCAGTGTGAAAATGGCCCATGATGAGGGTTCCACTGACATACTGCCTTTACACAGGCAAATGCTCTGGGGTGAGAAAAGAGGAACTTCGTTATCTAAATGGAAAATAGGGGCTGAGTTCACCAGCACTTGGCTGGCTTTTTCCATTGGGTGTGTCTGGAGTGGGGTGGGGGCTGGTAGGAGGGACTGGTCTTTGGCTGATGTTTGAATGATGGTTGGGAAAATGGGCCTGGGCCTTTCCTTGTGAATCAATAAAGCGCGCACACACACACACACACAGAGTAAAAGTCAAAAATAAAGCCCTGGCCAGTTTGGCTCAGCAGTTAGAGCATCAGCCCGTGGACTGAAGGTTCTTGAGTTCGATTCCCAGTCAAGGGCACATACCTGGATTGCAGGCTCGATTCCCTGCCCTGGTCAGAGTAGTGTGGGAGGCAACCCGTCTCTCTCACATCGATGTTTCTCTCTCTCTCTCTCTCTCTCTCACCTCCCTCCCACTCTATCTAGAAAAATATCTTCGTGTGAGGATTAACCAAAAAAAACTTGTTTACTAATAGGTTGCATGGCCAGTGTAGAAAAATTTTAAAATGTAGACAAGTAGAGAAAACAAATCAGTAAGCAGCATAGTGTGGTGACTCGGAGCAAGTGCTTGCATTCCCTGGGTTCAAATCCTGGCTCTGCAGCTTAGGTGAGTTGCTTCCCCCCTCCATGCCTTAGATTCCCCGTGTGGAAAGGGGGTTAATAACACAGTGCCAAGTGAATAATGGTAATTTGAGGAATAAATTAACCAATCCTTGACATGAACTGAGAATATTGCTCCTTGGTATACAGTTAGCACTCAGTAATTGTGGGTGGTGGACAGCAACTAGAATTCTCTAGTTAATATTTGATCTTGGTGCTATTTGCTACAGAGATGCTCTGAACCATCCGCCAACCTCAGAAAACCCCTGAATATTTGAATTTGCTGCCAAGGGGCAAGAAAAGGGGAATATCTTAAAAGCTGTTAGAAATTCCTCTGAGGGTAAGGTCTGGCTTTGGAGTCGTCCTGATTCCTGCCTTAATAGCTCCCCTTGGCTTCACAACAGTCTCTGAAGAGCCAGATTTTTTTCCATCCTCCAGATACTCCATTTGTTTCCAGGCACATCACTTTGCTTTCCTCTCTCTTTCCCCTTTTTGTCGGCCCGTCCTTCCAGTTTCCCCCTTTCCCCCTTGTGGACTGTTAGAGCTCAGAGGGACCCTGGAACTAATGGGAACTCACTCCACTTCGTGCAGGTTGAGTCTGAGGCCTAGAATGGCAGCGTGACAAGGTGACAAGGTAAATAAATGGCTTTGGAAGGAGAAAAGGGGAACCATGGAGAGGACGGGCCAGGGCAAAGCCTAACTCAGGGTTCCTGGGTTGCCCTTGGGCCTTGCTGAAGGAAGTCGCAGCTGGCTCTCTTGGCAGAGACTAACAAGGGGCCCCGACCAGCTTCATTTATGAGAGTCTTGGGGTTATGTGGCCTTTGGACTGTGGTGGTGGAGGAAAAATCTCTTTCTACTCGTGGACTCCACTTTTAGGAACTGATATCTCCACCCGGGTATCTCCAACTTGCCCTGTCCCAAATGGAACTTGGGACCCTCCTCCCCCAGCCCTCCCATCGCAGTCAATGGCAGCCCTGTCCTCTGAGGCTCAGGCCAAAAGCCTGCATCATCCTTGACTCCCTCTTTCCCTTCCATTCCACATCTGCTCTGTCAGCAGATCCTCACAGCCTTCCCCATTACCGCTCTGGCCAGAGGCTCACTTCTGGATTTAAACATCTCTTCCTCACTGCTCTCCCTGCTTCCCATCTTAACCCTTGCAATCTAGTTCCAAACCAGCAGCCAGATCCTGTCCCCTTCTGCTTAAAACCCCACAGTGGCTCCCACGTCTCTAGGGTAAAAATCAAAGGGCTTAGAGGACTTACTAGGCCTGGCAGCCTCTGACCCCATTACCTCTGACCCTGTTGCCTGATATTTTTTGTCTCACTCCACTCCAGCCACACAGGCTACAGGGCTGCCTCAGGGCCTTTGCACTGGTTGTTTTCCCTGCCTGGAATGTTCCTCCACCTTCAGTTCTTTGTTTAGATGTCAACTCAGGCAGCCTACTCTCTCCCCCACCCCAATAGTCCCCCCACCTATAGCACTTATTTACTACCATCTAACACACCAAATATTTTACTTTTTCTTTTTTTCACCAAAAGTGCAACTTCACAGGGGCAGGGATTTTTGCCTCTTTGTTTATGACTATAATCCCAGTATCTAGAACAGTGCCTGGAACATAGTAGGTGCTCACTAAACATTTGTTGAATGAATGAATGAATGAATGAATGAATGAATGACTGACATGAAGTGCTAGAATGGCTTTTGAGCTTGGTTGAAGCCTTTCTTCAGAGATCCTTAAGAATGAAAGTTACTCACCTGTCTCGAATGGATACTCAGGTAGACCACGCCTTCCAGCTTTCATATTTGATGCGTATATTTTATCTTGCAAGGGTCAGATTGACTCTCGTCCATCTGTCTCTTCCCAGGACCCAGTGCCTGGCACAAAGCAGCCTTAATTAACGTGTGAATTTTAGTGTCTGAGGTAC